CAACTATTGAATTATTGTTCCACAAACAGGTCTTCTTAACCAAACAACAAAAAAGCATGGTATTAAAGCCCTGGAGTGATAGATTCTAGATATTCAAAATATTTGTACATTTGAGATATTCCACTTCTGCCTCAAGGCCATAGAAATGGGCCTTCTCAGCATTTTGAAGAAATGTTTCAATCTTCTCTCTCATTTCAAAAACTCATGCAAGCACTCTTAGCAGCCAATATTTGTCACTGTGGAAATGCAGAATCGTGTATTCACTCCCATTTCTGTGGCCAGGATGCTAACATGATAGCTCCTGGGGGTAGCCGGCAATCCTGTGTTCCTTGTCCTGTAGCTGCATTGCCTCTGTCTTCGCAGGGCCCTCTTCCTGTTTGCGTGTCTGTCTCGTCTTTTGTAAGGACACGAGTCATTGGATTAGGACCCACCCTAATCCACTATAACCTCATTTTAACTAATTACTAATAATATCTGCAAAGGCCCTATTTCCAAATGGGTCACTTCATCATATCTTTTGGGGGGCACAATTCAACCCATACAAAAGGCTTGCCTGCTCCTTAGACACACAGAAGCAGCAGTGAGTTCCTGGAGTCTGAAAGTGGTGTCAAGAGTAAAAGGTACCCACTAGGGGTTGTTGACATGCAAGGGCTTGTAACTCAGAGGCAAAACTTTCTGGCTACAGATCAAGAGGACACTGGTTCAAATTCACATCCACCTTATTTATTCCCTACTGTTCCTCACAAAGATGTCTGAGAAAGTGAACATGAGCTCAGAGGGAGGAAATAAAAATCTGCTCAGATAACACCAATGCACTGCAGTTGTAAAATGTCAAAACAATCCTCTTAGAGAAACGTTCTTCTCTAAAATCAGAGACTATCAGAAACTGCTGCGTGGAATTTTATCAGTAAGAATGAAACTGCCCACTTTTTCCGGAGCTGACACTATTCACCCAGTATCCCCAGAGCCCAGCACAGTTTCCAGCTCATAGGCAAGTGCTCAGAAACATTTGTTGCACACATGTGTGCCCATTTATTCTCCTCAAAGAGCACTGAAATCTCAGCTTCTGCTGAGGGCACCACAGTGCCCAGCACACAGTAGGACCCTAAGAAATGAAAGTTGAATAAAAGCTCCAAGAAACCTCCAAAGTCAAGGACGTGGCTGCATCTCTAGAGAACTCCAGGCTTCCATGTTCCAACCTGGATACTCTCCTTTGTGGGGCCGAAGATACCCTCTCGTCCTCTGTTTCCTGATCTGTGATACAGGAGTAATAACACAACCTCCTGGGGCTGGATTTTTCTGAGACAAACTGGGATCTTCGGCTCGAATTGTGCTGCTCTGGATGGAAGAGATGTGTCTGCTCCTTGACTTGCTTGAACGAGTTTTTCCCATATTGGGGAGGGGGGCAGAAGCTTCTTAAGATTTAGCTTCCTAAATGGTAAACTGGGAAGAGGGCTAACCCAGGACAAAGAAGAACACCCTCGGGGTTCCCGGCAGGCACTGGGAGGAAAGGGAGAGGGTATCAGGACACCCATCTTTGGTGGAGTGGAGGCACCAGTGCTCGGTAAACACACAGAAGCAGCAGTGGTGAACAGGTGCCCTGGGTGTGACTGCGAGTGTGAAAGGGCCTGGTCACAGATGTGTGGATCTAGAGCAGTGGTTCTCAAAGCGTGGCCCCAGACCAGCAGCGTCAGCATTACCTGAGAACTTGCCAATCAGAAACTTTCAGGGGGGAGCCCAGTCATCTTTGTTTTAACAAGCCCTCCAGATGATTCTGATGCACCTTAAAATTAAGAACCATGGGTCTAGAACAGATTTCAGAGGATGAGCAGTCTGATCGTGGTCCTCGGTTTTCATCCTGCCTCTTCCCACCAGCTCTGGCTGACCCTGCGGCAAGTGATACAATTCCTAACCCATCCCCTTCTTGGGTGTTTCAGTACCTAAGTCTTCCTGCAGGTGGCGCAGAAGAAGCCCATGTAGATCTGTGGCAGGTGTTCCTCAAAGTGGGGTCTCCCGACCCTCTATAAGGAGCTTGTTCCTAACCCCAGATCGCATCTGCATGTTTGACAAGCTCCCAAGAGGATTCCTAAGCACAGGAAATCTGAGGACTGGCCCAGAGGGTGCAGTCCATGCACCAGATCAAAGCCTAGGGCTCCCATTAGCTTTTCCCTGTTGTTCTTGAGCTGCATGGCACTCTGCTCCGCTAAGCCCACATTCTAGTCCCCTTGATGGTCCCGAGTAATTTCTTCAGAGGCTCTCGTTATGTAGTCTTTACATTTTCTGATGGATGGAAGATAGGGACAAGAGGAAGATGAGAGAGTCATTGGTTTAATTACAGGGTCCTGAACCAAAAGCCAGGAGGATGGATTCAGGTCCTGAGCCTATCTGTAAGGATCTGTGTGTGCCTGGGGGGACCAGTAATCCTGAATCTCGGTTTTCAGATCCCATTGTGAAGGGCACAGACTAGCGACGCTGAAGTCTCTTCCTGCTATAAATATCTGTGTCAGTGCTTTTCCAGAGAGAGCAGGGAGGTGGCTACAGGGAGGGGGAAACTTGCTTATTTTGCATCAAGGAAATAAAATTAAAGTGAGGCCAGCTTGTCAGCTTTCAGCAGGCCCAGCGTGATGAATATCTGTGGCAAAAATTTCTAGGAATGCTGGGCATGGCTGCACAGGTATAAGGTAGTAGTAAGGCCTATATGTATGTCAGGGGGTGTAGCTCAGGGGTAGAGCATTTGACTGCAGATCAAGAGGTCCCTGGTTCAAATCCAGGTGCCCCCTGCTGTCCTTCACTTTTGCTAGTTGGAGCTCTGCTCCTTTCCCTAATCCCGGGCCGCAGTACACTGAGCCTTCTCAAATCTGGGAAAAAGTCCAGGGTAACTTAAAACCCTGTCACTGAGCACTACAACCCCAGAGTGATAAGTTCCTCCAACTCTGACTTTTTAATTTCACTTACCACAGGTCTTGTTTTACATAGGCTTGTTTCTACATGTTTTCATTGCCCTAAATCAGTGCTGTGCTGGTTAGTGTTTAACAACCAGCTCTTGGGGTTGTTGCTACAAAGCACTGATTTGTAGTGTTTTCCAATTTCATGGTGTAAATAATCTCACCATATCCAATGTCAAGCCACAAACATAAGATCACTGATCATGGAGTTGGGAAGACATGCTAACAAGTGACTCTCTGGTGCAAGCCAGCTTGAACACAGCACTGTCCCCAATCCATCTTCTCTATAGTGACATGGGCTTTGTGACCCGCCCCCTCACTCTATCCTCACGATGCTTACAGACATCAGAGCAGTGGATGTTGTGGAATCATCCATTTACTTAAGACATATTTGAGTCCTAATCAATGCCAAACACAGGAAAGACAGAGCTCAGCAAGAACTGTTTGTGGTGAGCAAAGCAGTCAAATTAAGAAATGGTCAGGGGCTTCCCTGGTGGTGCAGTGGTTAGGAATCTGCCTGCCAATGCAGGGGACACTGGTTCGAGCCCTGGTCTGGGAAGATCCCACACACTGCGGAGCAACTAAGCCCGTGCGCCACAACTAGTGAGACTGCGCTCTGTAGCCGGTGAGCCATGCACCTAGAGCCCGTGCTCCACAACAAGAGAGGCCACCGCAATGAGAAGCCCGCCCACCGCAATGAAGAGTAGCTGCTCCCGCAACTAGAGAAAGCCCCCGCCCAGCAGCGAAGACTCAACGCAGCCATAAATACATAATAAATAAATGGTCAAATGAATGATAAGGATAGCTAGAAAGAAGGAGTGTGCTAATCCCTTAAGGGATTTTAAAGTTTAGGGATTGAGACTGAGGGTGGCACGTTGGCACGAGCTGGAAGAAGGGGCACCTATAAGGAGGAAGCTGACCTCAGCAAGATGATAGGACATAGGCCCAAAGCACAGGTAAGGCACTTACCAAGGGGCTCTGTGGCCTTTAGGAATCCTGAGATCAGATGTTGAATTTTAAACTGTCCTTTTCCACTGCGTGAAACCTTGCGATATCTTCAGATCCTCAGGACAGTGGGCTACACAGACATGGGTCCTGTGTCAGTGATTCCTTGGGTGTGGAGGAGGGGGCTTTGCCTAGGTATGGGGCTGGGCAGGGACTGAGAGTGGTCTCCCGCGGCCTCTCCCTGGAGGCCAGGCCAAGATTGTCAACACTGTATCTCAAAGTTCTGGGAGGTGATCAGCAACAAGGCCAGCGGAGACCCATGGAAGACTACAGCGGCTACAGGGAACAATTCTGGGATTGCTGGGCCAGACATTCCCCTTCCCCAAAGAGTCCAGAGGAAGAGAACTGTCGGGGTGGGGGAGTGGGGAAGGGCTCTCTGGGCGGCAGGCGCCTCCTCCTCGTTGGACCCGGCCTTCCTCTGCTCATGTAAGCCTCTGTCAACCAGAGCAGGTTTGCCCCAGAAGCCCACCTTCTCCGAGCTGTCCTAACCGGGGTCCTCCAGACCAGGAATGAGGCTTGTTGGGCTCAGCCTGGGTCCTCTCCCCAGAGTCCGCCACCTTCCCCCAGCCCTGCTGCTTCCTTTCTGACCTGGAGAATGGTGGGCTCACGCTTCGTTCATTCATCACATTTACTTGAGGGCCTACTACGTGTCAGGAACTTATGGGGTTACCACAGTCAACAAAATAGACCAGCAAATAGTCACACAGATATAGCGGCACACGGGTCAATGCTATGGCGAGCGCGGGAGCGGGGTGACAGATCTGAGCATGTGCTGGGGTCAGGCAGCCACTCTGACCCACACACTATCCCAGCCGAGCGGTCTGGCCTGCAGCCCCCTCCGCACCTCTCGGGACCCGCTTCCCCGACGCCTCCCCGGCGGCCCTAGTCAAGGTCGGTTTACGGGATGCGTCCTCTGGGAGAGGCGGCTCCCGTTTAATCCGAGCATCCCACCTGGCACATAGGGTGCGCTTAGTAAATAATGGATGCAAGAATGGATGGATGGATATGTGGATGGATGGGTTTACGTGTGCAAGCACACCGCAAGCTGACCACCCGGCAGATCCCGGCGCCAAGCCCCCGCTGGCAGCTTCTCGGGGTCTCGGCTGAACCAGCGGGGAGAGGGCGCCCACCAGGCTCGCCCCGCCTTCACCTCGCCCCGCCTCCGGCCGGCGCCGCGGCGCCTTCTGGGAAGTGTAGTTCGCGCCTGCGCCCGGAGGGCCGCGGAGGCTGGTCCCCCTCTCTTGGGATGCGACACCCCATGCCCGCCCCTCCTCAACGGCCTGCGCGCCCGGCTCGGTTTCCTCCTGCGCCGCCCTAGGTCGCAGCCGCCGCCGCTGCCGCCGCCGCCGAGGGTCGCGACGCAGCCTGTGGGCGGGGAGCGGGTGCCCCCGGCCGTGCCGGAAGCCAGGAACTGAGGCTGAGTCTGGGATGGCGCGCCAGGTAAGGCTAGCGCGGACGGCGCCGCGAGCCGGGACCCCGCCGCCAGCCGGCGAGAACAGACGGACGCCTCGGCGGGTCGGCTCCGCGCGGCGCTGTGCGTGCCTGGAGGGCGGGGGCGAGCCTGGGACCCGCCAACTTTGGCCGGGCTGCGGGGAGAGTGCTGGTGCGCAGGATTTGGTGCGGAGAAGTCTAGGTCCCCGGACGCCCCCCTCCCTTCTCCCAGCGCCGCAGTGTACGCGTACTTGGAGTCTCTCTCCACCTTTGGAAACTCGTTCCTTTGGGTTAAGCATCACCCTCTCTTCTTGGCTTTTAATGATAAATTATACTGGGAGCGATGGGCACGAAGGCCTAAGGAGAATGAGTAAATCTGTTCACTTTCATTCTTGGTAGGATCCTGGACTCTGGGCGGGGGGAGGGCATAGAACAAAGTACCAGGTTTTATCCATTAGGTGAGATGTGTAGGTCCGAGAGGTGGAGGGAGAGCCCCATCTGTCATAGCCTGGGACCAGTTTGGGCAAGTTGTGTGAAGGTGCTAGGAAACCTAATGGTACCAAAAGGGAGTTGCTGCACGTTCTGCTGGGTGGGCCCCTGGGGCCAGCTCTGTAATTGTGGTGGCTCATGAGCTTGGGCCAGCCTCAGACAACCGTGGGCTCCGTGGTTTGAGGGCGGGGGAAGGGGTGGTGGTGTTGGGAGAGTGGCTGGGGCAGTCTGTGGCCAGGCAGAGCAGCACTGTGCCAGCACCTTGGCGACATTAATGCCCCACAAGCTCCTGGGAGAAAGGGAGAAGCCAAGCAGTTTGGATGCTGTGGGAACAAGGGCAGTCCCCTTTGCAGATCTGGCCGTGTAGTTAGGGAGCCCACGGACACCCCAGCTCAGATATGCCCGCTGGCCCCATGCTCAGGCCTCCTCGTACCATAGTTTCCTCTTCTGTACAATGAGGGGTTGGATCTTTTAGATCTCATGTTCTGGAGTGTGTCCTCCCACTGTGTAGCTTCATGGAGAAGGTGCCCAGGAGTGGCCTTGAGGAGTGGTAGGTCACAGTCAGAGGGAGAGGAACAGGGACGGCCTCCTGTCTTCCTGTCCAGTACGACTGCCAGATGGTCAGGGGCGTGGGAGCACAGCCCGTAGGTGGGGGCAGCAGGGGTCGGGATCTGATCTGGAAGCCCGAGTCTGAGCCTGAAACATGCTGGGAGAGCGGGTTTGCGCTGACGCGCGCACGCGCGCGCACACACACACACACACACACACTCCTCACTCTTCCTCTGCTTTTTCTGGGTAGGGGGAGACTACTGACAGAACCACCTCCCCTGGCCACAGTCAATGCCCGTTCCCGTTTTATAAGAACTTTGTCATACAAGAGTTTATCTTTTGGCTGAGGTGATGAATGGCCTGGAAACCATCTCTTCCAGATGTCTAAAAGAGCTGGTATATTTAGCCAGGAGATAAAGAGGCACTCAAGGTCAGGAATGGTGTGTGTTGCACTCTGCAGCTGCACTCTGCAGCTGGAGGTGGCCGGCTGTGACAGGTGGACATTAGGCAGACAGATTCGGCTGTAAGAATAGGAATCGTAGCACTTATCACGTCCCAGCATTTGTTCCAGGCACTTTCCCTATGTTAATTCATTTAATCGTCACAACATCCCTATGAGAGAGGTTTGGGGTTTTTTAAAATATTTATTTATTTAGTTAGTTGCACCGGGTCTTAGTTGTAGCAGGCAGGCTCCTTAGTTGCAGCTCGTGGGCTCCTTAGTTGCGACACATGGGCTCCTTCGTTGTGGCATGCGAACTCCCAGTTGTGGCATGCACGTGGGATCTAGTTCCCCAACCAGGGATCGAACCCGGTCCCCCTGCATTGGGAGCACGGAGTCCTATCCACTGCATCACCAGGGAAGTCCTGAGAGAGGTTGTTTTGATCCCCGTTTTATAGATGAGTTTGCCGAGCCCTTAGCTAATATGAAGCAAAGCAGGGATTGGAATTCCAGCAGCCTGGCTCCTGAGGTCAAGCCCAAAGCCCCACACTCTGCCTGTTCGTGTTCCAGAACTTCTTAACTGACAGATCAGGCCAAAGATGGGACTGTGGTGAACCCTCCGTTGCTATAGGTGTTCAAGTAGAAATTGAAGAACCCCCCCCTGTGAGTGGAAGTTGGCACTAAATGTTCACTGAGCCTTAAAGGTGTACAGCAGTTGTCGGTGATTTCTAGTTCACAGACATGCTATGGTGGACAGCTGGCCCCTGGCGGGAGGAGAGGGTCCCGTTCACCCGAGTAGTTTTCATTCTGGCAGGCGGGGCAGGTTCTGCCCAGTCTCCGGCCGTGACTGGAGGGGAGCCCTCCCCTGGCCCTGTGATTCTAAACTTAGAATGTGTCAGAATCATCTGGGAAGCTTGCAAATGTCAATTTCTGGGCTCTGAAAGCACTAAACATAATCATGATTTAGTAGATCCAAGATGAGGTGAGAAAATCAGTCCTAATTAAAAGGAAATTCTGAAGTAAATCATCTGAACCTAAAAGCCTTTCTGTTTTTTCAGATGTTAGGTAATAAATAGCTTCTGATGGGAGAAGATAAGGACAGAGGATTTTTCACCCAGTTTGACAGACAGAGAAGCTGTCTGCTGACTTTAACTAGCTCTGCAACAGACCTGCCACTTGGCTCTGCTGCTCTTACTCTCCCCACTTCCTGCTCCAGCAAGGGCCATGCCATTTGGACTCTGCCATTATCAGTGGCTACAGGATCTTTTATTTTTACCCAAGACCCTACCCCTCCCCTCCATCACCACCTTGAAGATCTTGTTAAAAGTTCAGCTTTTATTAAGAGGTTACTGAGACTGAGAATTTGTTTGTTACAGATACTCCCATAATCTTTCGCCAGAAACTGTACTGGGTAATAATGATTTTCTAAAAAGTGGATGTTTGGGACTTCCCTGGCAGTCCAGTGGTTAAGACTCTGTGCTTCCAATGCAGGGGATGTGGGTTTGATCCCTGGTCTGGAAACTAAGATCTCGCATGCCGCAAGGCGTGGCCAAAAAAAAATAAAAGTGGTTGTTTGATGCTTGGTTCGTTAAGGTTTACTGATCTTCTGATAGGTTATAGTCACAGTCAAGCACAGTCTAGGGTCGTAGACTTGGCCCCTGGCTGTCTGCCTGCTCCTGCTGCATCACCCCTCCTTGCTTTGGAACCTTCGCCCTAAGCTGCCTGCGTAGGGCCATCCTGTCAATGAAACGAGAGATCTGAAGTGCTCGGAAGTATGTAGGGATCACCCCTCTGCTGATGTTTAGGCCCCCTGTATGTGACATCTCACTTAGCATCCAAGTGGGTTAGAGGGAGGGACAGAGATGGATGGAGCTGAGAGGCTGGCTGGGGTCTCGCGCACCTGGTCCACATATAAAATGTGGCGTGTTGGGGAAAGTGTACAGGCAGAGAAGGTACCACGACCCCAGCTCTCGTCTCCAGATAGGGAGGTGTTGAGGCCGTGTCAGTTCTCAGCGTGGCTGGTGAGAGAGGGCCGGGGGAGGGGCCTCATTAGACAGGCGGGCCCTCTGCAGCTCGGTAGCTGGGATCTGCGTGTTCTTCCCTTGAACTAAGGGACCTGCAGAGCCAGCCCTGTGTGGAGCTGCCAGAAGGTGGAGAAGACGTGGCCTCGAAGCCCACCTTGGCTCTCCTTACCGGCCTCCTATAAAGTGGGCGTGTGTTTTGGGTGGCATTTTTGTTTTGCAGGTGCAGAGCCTGGTGTCGGTCGGTGCATCCCCCCCCCCCTCCTATAAAGTGGGCGTGTGTTTTGGGTGGCATTTTTGTTTTGCAGGTGCAGAGCCTGGTGTCGGTCGGTCCCCCCCCCCCCCCCTTATAATTCTCAGGGGGATCAACGTACACTAACTAGACTCACAAAGGACAGAGAGATAAATCAGAATATGCCAGTTTCTTAACTTACGGTGAAAAATAGAGCTGACAATCAAACTGGAACTATATGGTGGCCGATTAAGTGTTTGACCACCTAACGTGAAATCTGCATGGGAAGCCCGGGGTTAACAGAGTCCGAGCACAGAGGTTTGCTGGATAAGCTGGCATCGTGGAGCCAGCATGGCCTGAAGCACCCGTCTCCCTTAGGAAGAGCCCTGCGGTGCAGGACAGAGACTCTTGTCACCTGGGCAAGGCCAGGAAGCCCAGACAGATTCTGGAGCCCCCAGTGCCCTTCTCTAGGCATGGTCCATGGTGACAGTGCCGCAGTGTTGGTGCCTTCTCCCTTCGGGCAGCAGTGACCTGGTTCCAGCCCCTCCGCCTGCCCTCCAGCCTCCCTGACAGGTCCAAAGGCCAGGACCTGGGGCTTCCAAACTCCCTGCCATTGCTAGGCCCCCTCCAGGTGGCCGATCTTTCCTCCAGGGCTTGGTTTGACTTGCTTCCAGGTTCTGGGGACACTTACTTTTCTCTAGCGCATTGGTCATAGTGGGAATTTAACACGTATTTGAGTGTCTAAGGGAAAAGAGAGTGAGGTAATTGTAACTCCTTGACCCTCTCCTGCCCCCTCCCCACTTTTCCTTGGCTGTGGTGGTGAGAGAGTGGGACTACCGATAGGGGGTGCCAACCTTTTTGATTCTGTGACCCTCTTTCTTAATGTTGAAAACTTAGTACGTTAGAATTTAGCCTTTCCATGTATTTTAAAATAAATTCAGTGTTACCTTTAAAGGACACACATGTGTTCATCACAACAGCATCTATAAACATGTGCATGCAGCCCGCTGGCAGTGTTTGTGCCCATTCAGCCCCTGGGCCCGTTGGGACAAGTCTGAGCCTCCCGAACATTGACAAAAAGCTAACCAGTATTCGATCTAAAGGAGAAATAGAGAATTTTATTCACGCCAACCTGAGGATTATAACCCGAGAGACAGTCTTTCAGAAAACTCTGAGGACTGTTCCACTTGTTGGAGGTCGAAGGCACAGTTATGTACATTCTAGAGACAAAGGATCGTTTGTCAAAATGACACACTGACATTTTACATAAAGTTCACCAAAGATACACAGTCCAGATCTACACGAACAGCAGGTCACCATGACCCCATACAGAACTGGGAAAAGAATAAAGGAAAAAACACATTGATCTTATGGTTGAGCAGACATTCCTGCCTTTCTGCTCAGTGTATGATGCAGATGCCCATTGCACGTTAGGGGGGCCCAGCACAGGCAGGGAGTATGTTATGCTTAAGTTTCCTTGTTCTGCCTTAAAAACAAATTTTATTCCATCACGGTCCGCAGAGCATACAGGGACTCCCTAACCAAAGCGTCTCCCTGTGCCACCAGCTCCAGGGTTCCCGAGCCTGCCTGGGGTTCGGACTCTGGGAGGCAGAGACGGAAGAAGAGGAGAGAGGAACAGAGGACAGAGCTAGGCAGGTGGGCTGTGGATGCCAGGAGGGAGGCGTGAGTGGAAGCAGCGGGGGACGAGGCTGCAAAGCTAGGGCCAGACTGGGTCGTGAGGCCTCCCTGCCAGATGTGCCAGGTGGAACACCCTCTGGGCCCGCACAGTGCTCGTGTCCTGTTGGGAAGTGTAATGGCACCCTGTGTCGGGGTCCCTGAGACCACCCCAGGGTCAGTGATTTGCCAGGAGGACTCCCGGGACCCGTCGTATAGTTGTATTCACGGCTGTGATTCATTACAGCCAGAGGACACAGTCACGGTCAGCCGAGGGGAAAGGCACGGGGGCAGAGTCCCGACGGAGCAGGAGACGCGTCCTCTCCTGGTGGCGTCACACAGGTTGTACTTAATTCTTCCAGCCGTGAGTTGTGACAGCCGGTGTGAAATGTTCTCTCCGGGGGAAGCTCACTAGAGATTCAGCACCCAGGGTTTTCACTGGGGGCAGGCCATGTAGACACCCTCCTCCTGGCATGTACTGAAATCCCAGAGTCCCAGAAGGAAAGCAGTGTTCAGCATCAACCACACTGTTTGTACAAACAGTCTGGGCCCAGCAAACCATCCTTATCAGTCAGGAAACCGTGGGAACCTCCCAAAATCCAAGTTCCCCGACACCAGCCTCAGGCCAGCCTCGCAAGCAAGCCTTTCTCGGGGCAGCAGTGTCAGGCCTGCTCTTCCATACGGACCTGAACGTTGGCTACGATCTCTCTGTCCAGAAGGCCAGGAAGAGATGGGGGTGGCTCTTTGAGAGATGTTTCGGAGGGCGTCTGAGCGTGTTCCCGAGAGGAGGTGCCCATACCCAGCCAGGGGGGCAGAGGTTAGTTCAGGAGAGCCCGCTGGCCTGCTGAGCGGCTATCCGGTGGTTGGAATGCACAGGGGGCCAAGGAGGAAGAGACTGCGGTGTCTGAGCACTTGTGGGCCTTCGGACTCTGGACCAAAGGCAGGTAGCCTGTGGAGAGGCTGCCTCCAGCCGGGTGTGTCCTCGTGGTGCCAGCGGTCAGAGGGAGACAGGTAGAGTGGGGAGCAGATACCATTGGTGACAAGGCCACGGTTGGTAGCGGCGATGGTTTTTACATTTATTTATTTATTTATTTATTTATTTATGGCTGCGCTGGGTTTTCGTTGCTGCGCATGGGCTTTCTCTAGTAGCAGCGAGCGGGGGCTACTCTTCACTGCAGTGTGCGGGCTTCTCATTGTGGTGGCTTCTCTTGTGGAGCACGGACTCTAGGCGCGCGAGCTTCAGTAGTTGTGGTGCGTGGGCTTCAGTAGTTGTGGCGCACGGGCTTAGTTGCTCCGCGGCCTGTGGGATCTTCCCGGACCAGGGCTCGAACTCGTGTCCCCTGCACTGGCAGGCGGATTCTTAACCACTGTGCCACCAGGGAAGTCCCACAGCGATGGTTTTTAAAATCACTCACTTGAGTTGATGAAACAAGGCAGTAGATTATCTTTGCTTTATTAGGAGTGTCTTCATTTTATTTAATAATTTTTTTCTTACAGATAAATAGTTTAGCATTTGTTCCTAAGCCAGAAGGACCCTTCCCGTAATTTATATTCTGCTTAATATAAATATAAACTTTGTGCTTAATTTGCATGAAGTTAATTTTTGCTGTAATTTAAAATTCATGCCTTCTAGATGCTGGTCATCTTCTAGGGTCTGACGGCCATTTTAAAGCCCACTTAATGACTATTTTTAAAGAAATTAGGACAAAATGTTTCTTTAATCTTACGAAGCCCACTCCAAAGGCTCTGGGGGAGGATCCTGCCTCACCTCTTCCAGCCTCTGGTGGCCCCGGGCGTTCCTTGGCTTGTGGCTGCATGACTCCAACCTCTGTCTCCATTGTCACATGGACTTTTCCTGCCTGTGGGTCTGCCTCTGTTCCTCTCCTTTTAAGGACACCAGTCATATTGGATTAAGGACCTGCCTTATTCCGTCATGACCTCATCTTAACTAATTACATCTGCAGCAACCCTATTTTCAAATAAGGCCACATTCTCAGGTACTGGGGTGAAGATTTTGGCGTATGTTTTGGGGGACACAGTTGACCCCCGTCACTGTCTCTTGAGCAGATTCCCGTTGCCCCTTTGCCCGTTCCCATGTGTCAGGCGCCCGCCCCACGCTCTCTGTCACTGCTCCCCCGCCTCTGGTGTCCACCTGGAGACACAGGCAAGCTGAGGATGACTAGGCGGGCCTTGCCGGGAGGGAACCAGCCAACTCCCCTGAGATTGTGCCCACAGGTGTCCATGGCCTTCCAGGACCTGGCCGTGCGGTTCTCCGAGGACGAGTGGCGGCTGCTGGGGGAGGGGCAGAGGGCGCTCTACCTGGACGTGATGCGGGAGAACTACGAGACGCTGGCCTCCCTGGGTGAGGGGCAGGCAGGAGCTGGCTGGCGGGTGGATGGGAGGCCGGGTCAGCACCACGCGGGTCCTGAGTCGCTCTGGACCCCGGGACCCACCGGGCCTTGGGCTTTGTTTACACAGTGAGGTGGTGTCGAGAGCCTTGCACTGAGCTGGGGGCCTCGTGGGTCTTTTATGCTGTTGTTTCTGTGGACTGTACTAGGGTGCTGGGTGTGATTCAGTGGGGGCCCTAACAAACTGGCAAAACAGCACTGGTCCCCGAGGTTCTGACCGTCCCTGGGGTTTGGGTGGTCATACGGACACACACGTGCACAGGTGCGTGGATTGCCGGTGCTTGGGCTGCTGATGCAATCGCGTGTGGGAGGGCGGAGGCCGGCTTCCACCCCCGGGGGACTGTCGCTCTTTTCCTTCCCAGGGACAGTGGAACTGCTGCCCCTCTCTGCCTTCCTGTGTCCCTCGGAGCCTGGAGGAGCCGTGGGGGGCGGGGGCTGTGCTGCTGATGGGCAGGACCCTCCGCGGGGAGGAGGGCCCCTGGGTGAGTAATCTTGGCGGACAAGGACAGGCCCTTTTGGGGTCCTGGTCCTCCTGGGTAGGCTAGGCCCAGGTGGACTCACTCATGTCCTTCCCACGTGCCCTCAGCCCCTGGCTCCGTTCCTTCCGGGACGCTGTGACCTCAACCCTCCCCACCTCACCACACCGACCCCTCCGTGACCTTTCACCCCTCACCCCTCTGGGCCGGGAGCCTGGTACACTGTTGCCTGTCGCATGAAGTGCTCAGAAGAAAGATGGGGTCACCCTTGGAGAGCTTTCCCCCCTTAGGCCCCCTTTCCGCCACCACCCGTGCAGAGCCAGCCTGCAGCCCCTGAAGGTCCAGAGACTTTGGGGTGGATGTGGTCCAGGGGGTGCCAGGAAAGGCAGGGGCCCGGATAGTGGCAGGGCATGGGGAGGCAGCCCTCTATGGTGGTCCCCTCGGAGGAGTAACAGGGAACGAGCGACAGGAGCTCAGTTACCCATGGTCCCCAGCGTCCTGCTCCTGGCTGTGCCCTGAGCCCAGGTCCTCTTTGTCTGCGGACACGGGTCTCTCCTTTGCTGCCCCTCACGTGGTGGGAGGATTACATGAGACGCAGCGTGACGCCGCAAGCAGCAGCATGATTGCCGAGCTAATGCGGGGGATTCTCCCTGTGGCCTCTTGGCAGGAGGAGCCCCCCAGCACAGCCTGCACCTCAGCGCCCTGGTGCAGCTGGTGAAGGAGATCCCAGAGTTCCTGTTCGGGGAAGTCAGCCCTGAGAGCGGGGGAGCCAGCCTGGACGGGGAGGGGGCGAGCCCCGAGGGTGAGTCGACAGCGGGCGGGCCCTCTGCATCTCACAGACAAGTTCAAGCTGTGGGCAGCGCTGTGCGCCTGCCCAGCCCCTGCCAGGCCCTGGGTGGAGTCGCCCCACTGCATGAACTCGGGCGGCGTGCCTGTCCTCTGAGAGTTTGTGGATCGTGGTGAGACAGCAGCTTCTGACTCTTCTCTAGTGGCTCTGCCTGGCTTCATCCACGCCCTTGGGGCCCCCGTCGTGGCGTGCCCCGCGTGGTGGGCGAGGCCAGCCCTGTTCTGTAGATGAGTGGCCAGGCCCCCCGAGCCTGCACTCTTCCCGCCTCACCAGACTCTCCCTCCTTCCCCAAGCTTTACTTGCCGGCACTCTCACCTCCTCAGGGGTCTATCCCCAGCAGCCGCAGCCTGTAGGTTCCTTTGAGTCCGCTCAGCTGATGGTCGGGTGAGAAGGATCTTATCAGAACAAGACCTAGACTGTGAATCTACGTGTCAGAGCCCAGAGGTGACAGGGCAGAGGTTACTGACATCCTGGTCATTGTTAGTGGAACACGGCAGGGAAGGGCCTGGATGGGACAATGGTGGGGGCATTTTACCTCCTGCCGGGCTTAATTCCAGTGTCCCGCCCCCCAACAGCAGCTGTAATGGGGGATACTTGCCCTTTCCAAGGCTTGCTCGGCTGCCTTCCGGACACACCTGTCGGCCGGCCTGGCCTGGCTGCCATGCCCAGCGGCAGCTCATCCAGCAGCCTGCCCAGAGCCAGGGGGCAGGGGAGCCCCCTTCCCATCAGTGAGTATGACCCAGCACGGGGGCCCCAGGGAGTAGGCCTAGTGCTGGGCCTCCGCCCATGGACCAGCGAAGATGGGGGATGCTCGGCCCCACTCGCAGGGTGCTACGTGCAGCGTGCCTGTGGCACCGGACCTGACTCTCAGAGCTTCTCGCCAGGGCAGCGTTAATAGTCGGGGAGGGTAAGGTGGCCACTGGAATTTCTCTGGGTCTCATTTTATTTTAAAAGTTTTGCAAATTATACATTTGTCTGAATATCTGTTTTTATCTGAAACATTTCAAATTAATATAGCATAAAATTGGCACTCCTGAAAAACATACCCCATTTAGCCTGTAGTTTCAGGTGTCACCTGGCACCTTTGCCATGTGCCCAGCTTTGAGAAACATATGTACAAGGCTTGGGCCTGCGTGTTGAGGCCATGGGCATGCCCTGCTGAGCCAGAGTCAGAGGCTGGGGTTGGGGGAGGGTCCCGGAGTGAACAGTCTTGTGTTTACATTTACACCATAAGGAAACAGGGAAAGACCCTGCCTTCCCCAGGATGGACTCCTGGAACAAGCCTGCAGGAGCTGGCTCTGCCGCAAATCCAAGTTCCCAGGACTTGGCTGCCCCTCAGGCATTTAGAGCCTGGAGGGGACCAGATCCTGGGTGACTTCTCAGGGTCAGGAGCTGGGGCTAGAGAGGCCTTCCTGTCCCTCCTGCAACAGAAACTGCTGACATGCCAAGGCCTGTGGAGGAGGAAAGCCCAGGAGCCCACAGCCAGGAGCCTAGCCCTCCTACCTGTAGCTCCGGCAGGTGGAAGAGCCACAGGAATCAGGAGAGAGGGGCCGCGGGGGCAGGTGAGGGGCTGCCTTTCCCGAGGGTGGGGCCTGCGCCGGAGCTGATGGGGTGGGAAAAGGGAGGCGTCGTGTGGTTCCCACCTCAGCCTCCTGACCGCCCGGCATGGCGCTCAGACGTCACCCACATTCTCATGGGTGGGAAATCTGACCCCTGAAGGTCCCACAGCTGCCGCATTCAGGGCTGCCCTGAGCGTGCTGTCCTTGCAGGAGCTGCAGGAACCTCTCCTGGGAACAGCCCCTTGCAAGGCCTCATCAACTGCCTGAAGGAAATCCTCGAGCCCGGGCCCCAGCACCCCGAGCGGCCGCTGAGCTTACTGCCGCCAGCCCCCAGCCCGGGTGCGTCCCAGCTGACCAGAGCAGAGCTGCGGCCCGGGAGCCCTCCCTGGGCAGGTGAGTCCCTGTGGACCTGTCTCCTCACGCCAAGGTTTCTGAGCCCGCGGAATTGCCCTTTGATGGATCTTTGTCTATAAATATAACATCCTCCCTAAGGATCATTGCCAACTTGGCCATTCCAGTATCATTAGTGTCACATTTCTGGAGCCAGATGGCTGTCTTAGGGGAACAGCATTGGTCAGCTGGTATAAGACTCAGAAATAGACTTTGCCCTGGATTCTTTGGGTTCTTTACTCGTCCTAATATGGGACACCTGAGGAGGAGATGATGAGTGAGTGTCACTTCATGTTGACAAGAAGTGGGATGCTTGCAGTGGGCTTGGGGGAGCAGGGTGACGCAGTGGGGGCAGGAGCCCCAGCCCTGGACCCTGACGCCTGTTAGCCGGGCAGCCTGTGAGACGCTCCTCCAGGCTTTGAGCCTTGGTTTCCAGTCTGTAAAAGGGGATAATTGTTCCCACCTTAGAGGGCTGTTGTGAGGCTTAGGTACATTGTGTGCGTGTGTGTGTGTGTGTGCACGCGCGTGCGCAAAAAGCTTGGGCCTCCTCAAATTAAGTTCTGTTCAGGGCCCAGAGAACCATCTACAAGTAGCAACCCAGTTCGCCCACTTCCTTCGTTTCTACTCAGAGTAGCACCATACGCTCTGCCCGTAGGTTGCATTTTCACATCCTCCTTTCATCCATCCAGTTCTGGGAGGTGTGTAGGCAGGCATTTTTAAACCAAGCACTAAGAAGACGGTGGCCTGTGCAAGGCTGAGTGAGTTGTAAGAAGACCTGCATCTCCAGGTTTCTGGCCTTGGACCTTTTAACTGAATTCCCCTTTTGGTTGTTTGTCACCGAGCCTGAAGTCTCAGGGGGAACGTGTGTTCCTTTTTTCTGTAGTGAAGACGGAGACAGCCTCAGGGGCTTGTCCCCTCCAGAGTCTGCTGAACTGTCTGAAGGAGATCCCAGAGTCCCGGGACAAGCAACCCAGCCCCTCAGGAGCAAGGGACCCATGGCTGCAGGAGGACCCAGGGGCCTGGAAAAGGAATTCTGGAGGTAAAGGCCACTGGCTGGGCAGGGAGGCCCCTGGACGTCAGCCATTGCCTTTCTGCGCTCCAAGCAGGGCAGTAGGTGACCCTCCACAGCCAGACACTCGGGCGTCCACATCAGTGTGTCGGTTGGAGTAGCCAGACGTCGGGGATCATGTAAAAGGATGTAGGCATGTAGGAGGTGCAGCAGCGCAGTAACATTCCAGATTGGCTCTTACAGTAGGAGCTGAGGGTTCCAGAGGAAGGAGGGGATGGTTGGGAGGGAGAGAGACGGAAAATAGGAGACACAGCTCCAGGCAGTAGACATGCCGGGTATCATTTTGACGAGGGGGTTCTTTGTCACATTCTCATGGGCTCACCACTGGTCATCAGCGTCCCAGAACTTTGAGAAAGTCGATCTGAGATGGGCGTGCTGACCTTGAAGGCAGGACCCTGGCTCGGTGCTGCCTGGGGTGGGCTGCTTGGCATCATCCCTCAGCAGAAATCTCTGGAGGCGGGGGTGGGACTGGGTCCATCTGCTGATGATTGAGCAGCGACGACCTTGGAGCTGAGACGGCTGTGGAGGCCGGGGGCCTTGGATGCCCCATCCTAACCCTATGAGAAGGCCTCATGCGGGGCTTCCCACAGGACCCTGCCCCTTCCAGACCCCTCCACCCGGACCTGGTCCTGGAGCTGGCAGCGTGCTCTCTGCAGTGAAGGTGGAGGACGGCTGGGCCCAGGGGCCCCCAGAGCCCACATCCTGTCAGCTCAGCAAGCGGACCCACGGCCCTTCTGCCGCGGGCAGCCCTGGGGACAATGGAGGCACCGCCTGGGTCCAAGTGCCCAGCTGGGGCTCTGCAGCTCGAGGTGAGGCCTGGGCTTGTCTGCTCGAGTCTTCCCAGGTGGGGTTCTCAGCACCCCCAACAAAGTTCTGCCAGCCCACAGGGGACGGGGCACTTGCCTGTCTCCTGGGTGGAGATGCATCCACCTGGCCGTCCTTCTCAGGCAGTTAATCCCTTCCCTTAATTCCCGTCCTCCTTAACCCAGGCCCTTGCCCAGGAAGCCTTCCATTGTAAGGACCGTGGTCTTGCAGAGAATTCCCAACAGTTGGGAAAATGGCCCCTACGTATGGCTCTCCCAACCCTGCCCCTGGGCCTGAGTACAGCTGGCGTTGCTTCCCCAGATTGGGGATCAGAAAGCAGATCAGAGCCTGCACAGAAGGGTGTCCTGCTTGGCAGGCTCCCACGCCTGGTACAGGACTTGCCACCCCTGCGGAAGGCAGTCCAGGCAGCCAGCCGGGGCTGGGCCGGGGGAATGGGCCAGAGATGGTGATGGGGCATCTCCCCTGTCCCAGCCGGCAGCGCCTCGAGCTCACCCCTGGAAGCCCTGGAGGCCTGTCTGAGGGGCATCCCCCTGAGTGGGTCGTTACCTTCCCAGCCGCCGGCCAGCTCTTGGTCCCGGAGCCCTCAGCCAGGAGACCCTGGGTCTCAGAGGCCTGAGCTGCAGCGCCTCAGATCACACAGCAAAGGTAGACTGCGTCATGGGCTCGGGGTGGCGTTTGTCCCTGTGCACAGAACGGGGGATGCCAAGGACACCGTCAAGTCCGCCCTCATTCCAGGCCTCAGGGGTGCAGCCCTTCTCCCCCAGCCCCCTCTCATGCCTACCCCCAAACAGCCCCTGCATTTGGTGGAAGCCAGTTAAACTCTTCTGCCCACTGTCTCCACTGAGAGGTTCACTTATCCTCTAGGCCCACAAGACCAGTGGTTGGGTTTATGTGGGTTAATGTGCTACAGGATTTTAATCAGCGCCACGAGTGCCCTAACCTAAGGGGAGATCCCAGTGGGAGAGGCGTTGGGGCAGGTCTGGGCGCCCGTCCACAGCCCAGGGCCCAGGGGACCTCTTCTGTGGTTTTCCCATGATGCCAGCTGTGCTGTTTCCCGCAGAGGTGGTCTTGGGGCCTCTTCTGGCTCTGGGCCTGCGGGGCTGCATGAGAGACCCCTGCCCTCCCTGCAGGCTCCCAAGGCACCTCCACCAGCTTCTCTTCGTCCAGCAGCATTGACGGGGACCTGGATTTCCAGAGCCCTGAGGGCAGCCAGGGGCATCGGCCTAGAAAAGGTGAGCTGGCCGGCCTGAGGCTGGGAGTGGATTCTGGGGAAGGACGGGAGGCGCCCCCTGCCCACCACCATGTGTCCGGCCCAAGCAAGTCAGGCCATCGTGCCTGGTGCCGGCAGCAGAGCGGGGATGCCACGGCGGGAGCAGACGCAGGACCTTTTTGGGGGTCGGGGGTCTCTTTTAGTGACTTGGCTCAGAAGGGGCAGGACGACATCTAAGATGTCTTAAAAAGTAAAAAGATCTCCCTTAACATCAAATTCTTCCTTATCCCAGCCACGAAGAAGTCAGTGTCATATCCACTGACTTTCCAACTTAAGGAAAAACGTCATGAGGTTTGTGTGAACCCACCTTAGAGGGTGTGTTTGGTGGCTGCATGTCAGGGTACCTCCTCGTGGAGGCCGCCATGTGAGCTGTCCCCTCTTTGGGACCTTGCAGGACTGGACCTTTTTCTCCACCTGAATAATCCCAGTGCTCTCCGTCTGCCTTGTCCATGGACACCCGGTCCCCGGGGCTCTCCTCTGTGTTTTGGCCTCACCCACTGTCAGTGGAAAGGCCTGGAGCTGCACCCAGGGCTCTGCGCCAGGCCAGCTGGGGCCATCGGGCCGGCCTGGGGCCTCCGGTGTCCCTGGGCCTGGGTCCCTGCACCTGCCACGGGTCAGCCCCTTGGGTGGGGGGGGGGGGCTTTTACCTCCCAACATGCAGCCGAATTTTCTTTTTAATTTTTAGTTCTTAGTAGGTAATAGATCGTTCAGTCTTGCTTACAAACTACGGAAGGTTGCGGAGGAAGGGTGGCGTCTGCCTCCCTCTGCTGCCCTGTGTTGCTGAGCCACCTGCTGCTGTGACTTCCAGGGACGCTGCGTGTGGCCTGGCATCCTGCGCACAGCTTCTCCACCGTGCTTTCTGTCTTCATGCTTCCCTTTGGTGTCTTCCCACGTTTGGTCTTAGCATCCTCAGCGCTGTGCTGTCCCCTCCTCTCTTCCCCGCAGCTGCGCGGTGGACTGCGGTCGGTACCAGGACATTCCTTCTCGAGCATCCTCTGTCAACAGACCTGGTTTTCTAAGTCACCCAAACGGCAGGCGATCTCACGCCGCCTTTTAGAAGCTTCCAGCCCAGCTCCCCAGCTCCCCGTGTTGCCCCAGAACTCAGCAGCGTCCATGGGGAAAGCTGTGTGTGGGGTTCATCTCGTGACTTTGCAATTCCAGCCTCAGTGGCCTGAAGCTCTGGCAGTTTCTCTTTTATCCTGCTCTGCCTGGCCCAGCATCAGCAAACGCCTTCAGGGAAGAGCATGGCTGAGATGACAGCTGACCCAGGAAGGGCCTTTTCTAGAATTTCCTTCCAGGGACTTCCCTGGTTGTCCAGTGGTTAGGACTCTATGCTTCCATTGCCGGGGGCGCGGGTTCAGTCAGTGGTCAGGGAACTAAGATCCCACATGCCGCATGGCACAGCCAAAAAAAAAAGAAAAAGAATTTCAGTCCATCTAGTTCCTATTGTATCCACAGCTCTGTCACTAGAAATACGATTTTGGCGATTTGGTTTTTTCCCAAGTTGAAAGGCATTAGCATTGCCCTTTTGTTGTTGTTGTTGTTGTTGTTGTTTTTGCGGTACGTGGGCCCCTCACTGTTGTGGCCTCTTCCGTTGCGGAGCACAGGCTCCGGACGCGCAGGCTCAGCGGCCATGGCTCACAGGCGCAGCTGCTCCGCGGTGGGATCTTCCCGGACCGGGGCACGAACCCATGTCCCCTGCATCGGCAGGCGGACTCTCAACCACTGCGCCACCGGGGAAGCCCGCGTTGCCCTTCTTGACCTGCGCCATCCTTGGCCTTTCCCTCTTTGAGTAGCGAAGGCAGCCTGACGATGTTCCAGCCTCAGGGCCCATCTCCCCCACCACAGCCCGCTGACCAGTTTCTGTGTAGGCGGCCGAGCTGGGGAGGCCTCTCCCAGGGCCGCTGGGAGGCAGGAGTGACGGGTTTGGGGCCAGGTCCCCCCCACCGGGTGCCCTGAGCCGGCGTGACTGGCCTCGGGCCCTGCGCCTCCTCCAGTAGCTCCGGCTGCACCGGACACAGGGCACAGGCGAGGCTCCTGGGGTTCACAGGACCGAGCTCTGACCAGCCAAGACTGCGAGCATTGGGTTTTCACAGGAAGCCCCGAGGGAAGCTCCCCGCTCCAGGGCCTGGAGAACTGCCTCACAGAGATGCCTGCACCTGGGCCGCAGCCCACCTGGCCCTGCTCCTTGGCAGGGCACAGGGGGCCATGGAGAGTGGAGCCCAAGAACTGGACGGCGGGCATGGAAGGTAAAGCACTGCCCGGCGTCTGAAGGATCTTGAGGCTTCTGGAAGGTTCCCTGGCAGCCTTCCAGAGCAGCTGGAGGCCAGCACCAGGGACTGCCCTGGGTGCTGCCTCCCCAGAAGCTGGTGGGCCCCCATCCCAGGCTGAGATGAGATGATGTCCTGGAAACGGCCTGGGCAGAGGCTTGTCGGCGGTGAGGCTGGACGGGACACCCAGCCCCACTGCTGCTGCTGCAAATCCGGGCCTGAGCCGGGGCCTTGGCCGCAGAGTGTCTGTATCCTGGCTGTCGGCCCCACGTGCCTTTGCGTCCAGCATGGCCACTGAGCTGTGGGGCTGCTGGGAGTCTGGGTAGCTGGGTCGGGGCATAAGGAGATCCTGGAGGATTCGGGAGGCTCCCGGGAATGTCTGCGGGGCTCTTGTATGGCGCCGTGCTCCAGGAGCTTGTGAGCCCGAGACTCCAACATGACAGAAGTTGTTCTCTGTCCAGTGACTTCATGGCCTCGGTGCCAACACGGGACCCTCGGGCTGACAGGCCTCTTGGCTTCTTATTGAAACAGGACTGAGGGGCGAGGCCTGTGAGCCAGCCCACCTGGGACAGCGAGGGGGTGACGTGCCCACCAGGAGCCTCCGCCTGGCCAGCCCACAGGCACTTGCCTCTGGCACCATCCCGGCCTGCCACCAGCAAGGTCCCAAGGACCCCGGGGCCGCCAGGCCAGGACCGTGGAGGTGGCTCCCAGATGGTGAGCTGCCTCTGACCCGGGACTTGCTGGCCTGTCTTCCCTCCCGATAACAGTTTTTGATGAGGGAACAGATTTCCCCTTCCCTCTGTACTCCTCTGTTCCTTCCTTATCTCACCCATTCTGGACTGCCAGCTGGAGTGTGTGTACATTTCCCAAAGACTGCTGGCTGGAGCACCCCGAGGTGTGCTGAAAAGAAGTGGGGAGAGCACTGCTTTTATCCAGAAGTTGGGTTTCTCTGGGGGAAAGACTAGTTGTTTCCTCTGTTGTACTAGTTGCCTGGGGGTGGAGGCGTGTGTCCTGCTGCTGCAGCGTAGTTGGACTCACAGCAGAATTCCTTCCTAGACTTGCTGAGGTGGGCTGGTAGGGTCTGACTCACTTGAATAAGTACAGTATTTCTAATACTCCCACCAGGTAAGAAAGAGCTGGTTTGGAGGGCCTCCTGTGGACATAACTGAATCTCTCCTCAGGCTGCAGGTCCTGAGTGAGTGCAAGTAGGAGGGGCTGCCTGGCTTATAAGACCCAGATCCTGGCTGCAACCAGACTCTGCTAATGGCTTCCAGGGTCTTGAGACTTCTGGAAGGGTCCCCGGCGGCCTTTCCAGAGTGACTGGGGACTGGGCCAGGCTCTGGCTTTGCATCTGTCCACTTCCCATGGCCAGAGAGGAAGCTGTTCAGGGTCCACCAGAGCTTGTACGGGGCTGAGATGAAAAGGGACCAGCTCCACGAGCCCGCCCATTTAGGCAGAGGGCCCTCCTGCCTGGCATTGGGCTGATGGACAGAGGGCTTCTTTATTGCCATTTGCCCAGGGCCAGCCACCAAGCCCTCCCCACTCCACTGCCTGGAGAACTCTCTGAAGGGGATTTTGCCCGGGGGGCCCTTGCGCTTCGCCTGCCTGGCCGACCCTGTCCCGGGCCCCAGCCACAGCCCCAGCTCCAGCTCCAGCAGCTCAGAAGGAGAAGACCCAAGGCTGGAGCCTGAGGTCTGGCAGCCCCTCCTGCAGGGTGAGCTTGTTGGGGGAGAGGAAAGCCGGCAGCCCTGCCCCAGGGTGCAGGCACCGCCCTGACCCCGGCTTTGTGTGTGACAGAGAGGGACCACCTTCCCAGCTGCAAGGGCCTTGGCCCTCCTTCCCCATGCCCTAGTGGCCCTCGCGCTGGCAGCAACCCTGGTGAAGGCCAGAGAAGAGGCGAGACTGGGGACCACCGTGGTCTCAGTGCAGGTGAGCCTGGGGTCTCCTGAGAAGGGGGCATGTCCCCCAGAAGGGCCAAGGGTCCAGAGACGGGGTTCTCTGAGTCCCACCCATCACTTTGCCTGACTCTTGCCAGAAAGTTCTCTACTGTCACGCTTGAGTTCCCCATAGGATGAGCTGTGTCCAAGAGAGAAGGCGGGGATATTGAGGCACATGGGGCCCCAGGAGTGTTAAATGAGCGTGTTTAATTGGAAAGTCCGACAGTAAGCTTGAGATATATATATATATACACATATATATATATATGTGTATATACTATATGCACATTACACACACTTAATAACATATGTACGTATATATACTGTTGTGTCAGTCCCAGTATATCAATAGTGAAGCTCTCAGCTAGGAACACCTGGGGCCCTCACCCCAGCTCGTGTTACTCGTAGCGGGCCAGCCCCACACACTGGAGCCACACTGGAGCCAGTGTTGTGTGCTGTAGGACGCACTTTGGCAGAAACCATCAGGGAGCTTGGAGGCACAGGACGTATTACTTGCAGGTCGTGGAGGTTACATGGCACGCCCACTGGCAAGGTGCAGGGGAGAGAGAGTGCGCAGACCTGTGTTTTTATTAGGGTGGAGGGTATGGTATCTAGGGTTTGGCAGGTTCACTCTTTATTGGCTTATTTAAAGCATAAGCATGGAATTGGGGCCCAAGAAGGGAGAAGTGGGGTCATTCAAGTGGTCATTGATCTAAGTCACTCAGATCTGGGGGGCTGCCTGCTTCTTTACCTGGTTGTGTTGCCAGTAGCTTTGGCAGTAAACAGAAACAGTGTCACAAGTGAGATCCCTCCACCTGGGGAAACTAAGCGGTTGTCCCATCAGGAAAGCTGGAAACGGCTGCCTGCTACTCCAGGCCTCCGCAGTTCTCAGTCTGAGCCTGACCCAGTGTTCGCTCTAAGCAGGAAAAGCAGAAGAGAAGG